GGCCTCAGCCCATTGTTTCAGCCTCTCCAGGATATAATCAGGATCAGGATACAATTTATCAGTATTTTACATTAGTCAGTCCGTTACTTGACACAGAAATAAACAAGTACATACCCTGATCCAAAATATCTTCTTTTTTGGCCTTCTGCTGCAAAGAACTTTTATCAGCATCCTTGGTTTCTGAAAAATGCATTTAGTATACAATGTTAAGGTTTGTGTGTAAAAGGAATTGAGTATCTTCCTAATGGGGAAAAAAAGCCCTTCTGAAATGAACATTTAGTATTATTATATTTCTATAGCAGTTGCACGCATGTGGCAGTAAAACAACTGGAATAAAAAACTGTGATTTGTACTTTGCTACACAGACATACCAGTCAGATTATTTCTAGATAATATTGGTGGTGCAAGTTATATGCTTACTAGTGTTCAATATAAACATTTGATTCTTTCCATAACAAGGTAGTGGAATCCAGCAAACTAGGGAAATACTATGATTTAACTTTGTAGGAAATATATAGAAGATAAAGGAAATATTAAGAAACTGTAAGTACTTATAGCACACAAAGCAAAAAAAATATGTTGCAGACTGAAAGACAACAATAAGAAGAAATAGACAAAAGACTACAGCAGACATTTCCAACATAAACAAGAGCAGAATCCTGTGATGGTCTGTAATTAGTGATCTGCATTTTATTCAGAATTGCATTTTCTTTTTATGCAAATTCAGCATATCAAAGCAATACAGACAAACACATCAGTGAGCATAAAAAGACTTGAATAAAATGCATTACAAATTTTTCTCACCTTCATGATGTCCATGTGTGATTTTTGGCATATCAGACTTGACTGGAATAGGAATATTTGCCTCCTGTGGTATATTTCTGAACATCTCAGGGTTTGCATTCTGTGTGCAGGTCATATACGAGACAGCATGCTTGGCTTCCATGTAATACATAATGTAAAAGTTACACATTTCATCATTGGCTGTTCCCCTACAAAACACAGAAAAGATGCAACAGTTATAAAAAAAATAGCTGAATATAGCTGTTATTCAATTAATCTAACTTGTTTAGTAGAATATTAAAAAGTTGCAACGAAATGTTTAGAAGTCCCACATTAAAATATTTAATAGCTTAATTGCAGTGAATATCAACAATTTCAGTTTATACAAGAGAATTATGCCACCACTGATACACTTCTCTGTCAATCTGGGGCAACCCTAACTTAAAATCATTGCAAATAATGTCGATGTTTCATTTCAGCAGCTTTTATGACAGTTTTTCTCCTCCCACATTCAAATGCATCAATTTATCGGCCAATCACACTTGCTTCTAATGCAGCAAAACTTCATTTCATTACACATTAAGACGCCATAAATATCTCTTAAAGAGAAGACAGCGCTACCATCTTGAGAATAACTTGATCACAAGCTTCTGTAGGCAAAACATGAGTGCAAGAGGAATGATTAAACACTACCAATATTCAGTTCTTTGATAAATGTTGTGCGTGTACTTGAAACAGAAGAGACTTTTCAGTACTGCTACATAATCCTGCCTTCAATAGGAAATACAGCTGGTATGAGAAAGAATTTTTTCTGAAAAATACTACATTGTGAAGCAGATAATACAGGGTCTCTTTGTAACTGTGACCTGTTTCTGGGTGTTTTTTTTTGCTTTTGCCATATAGGTTGATATCTTTTATGGTTACAATCCTGACAATGGAATAGTCTAGAACTTATAAAGAAAGGTTCACAAAATAAAGGTCTTAACATTATGATTTTTTAATTAGCTCTCACAACTAACCAGTGAGCCCATACTCATAAAAAGAAACGGGGGTGGTCTATTAGCTGTTTGCAAAAGACGTCAGCACTGACTTTTCCAGCAGCATCCTGCAGCATTCATTTATTCACCATAGCAACAATAATGACATCAGCCAGAAGGGAGACAGGGAACATGAGAGAAGAGACTGTTTCGGAACCAGTATTTTTCCATGCACTGAAAATTTAGTGTCCCTTGGAGACCACAGAAATCAGACTCGATTTGGCAAGCTCTGCTTAAGATTTTAGAAAGCTTTAACTTCACTGTTGGTCTCCTAGTATCTGTCACTATAACTGCCACCTTTTTAAGACTCCATTAGAAAAGGGGAAGTGGATATCACACGATCCCTGGTTCACCTGACACTTGCTACAGTGTCTAAACATTGCAAAGTTGATAATTTTAAATATTTACAGCTAAAAAAAAAGAGAAAAACACTCTGTCAACAACAGTTTCAGTAACTTCACAGAAAGCCCAGAAATCCTTCCATTAGATATTTGAGCTCCTGAGAATGAGGTGTTGTTAATCACCTTCAAATCACTGCCACAGATATCTAGAACTGTCTCCAGATCTTGGTATATTAACAGTACACAGTGAAGCATAATGAAACAGAATTTAGCAATGAAAAGATAATGCAGTTAATCTTAAATATTGACTGGGAACATTTTGCTATTGGACCATAAACATTCTCTTGAATGGTACAATACCTGATAAATATATTTTGAAAGGGAAAGATACAGGTAGCACTGTTTGTTAAGTTTTAAACAATACATTGTATTGCAACTGGAAAAACAAGCAGCCACCACGGCCAATGGCACTTTCCTTTACAAGGATGTGAACTTTACACTGAATGGGCTCCGGGTCTTTGATATTTCTTGGACTTGTACTACTTGACACTGTATCAACTTTAATGTTTACTCTGAAACATCATTAAGTTATCTGCTATAAAAATGCAGTGGCTGCTTGAATGGAGTACTTACTGGTCAGTAGCAAAAATTAGACGAGATCTTGCTTTTTATATTAGAAATGGTTGACATGCTTCCTATTTGACAAAGGATACTTTAATTTGCAAAAGTTTGAGTTTGAGGACAAATCCTGCTAACTGAAATGGATGATTTATGAAACTTTTGAAGAGATTACTCCTGACACACCTCTTTACACCACAGACATTAAGTCTGTGCTCATGTAATTACCCTGAACTCATATGTAGTCAACTGCACAAGCAATCAGGTTTCACTTCTGAACAATAGTTTGCCAAACTCTACACACTTAAGAGGCATGCCTCAATACCTAATTAAATTTCTCAAACTAGGAGAGGAGGCAGGATGAAAGAGGTTAGTGTGAACCACGGGGGTTATGAGATAATGTAAGGTAATAAAAAGCAGTTAGTGTAACTAAAGAAAACCATGAAAAAAACCCAAGACCAAATGTGTAAAGAAACAACAGCACAGTAAGGAAGGCATAAAAACAAAAAAAGGACATATATCCTCCTTTCCCAATTTAGATACTAAGTAACAAATTTGATAAAAAATGACACTTCATTCATATGAAAGTGACTAGTTGACTATCAGAGAAATTATTACCTAGTTAAGAAGAGAATATGTCATGTTTTAACTATGGTTAGCATATATTATGAATGGTTAAGCTTTAACTGATTCGCTTTGGAAAAGCGAATGGACAAAGTGAATTCTAAGTTTGTTTTAGCCCTGCCTACTATGCATTGTAAAGATAAATCACATCAGGACTTTTAAGAACTTTTTTTCAGCTAGTTTAAGAAAACAAACAAACAAACAAACAAAAATACACACAGAGAATAAAGACTGGGAAAATTTCCATGCAGGCTTGATCTGATTCTTTTCAGATATGTATTATTTAACAGCTTCCCTTTCACATTTCATTTTCCAATTTTTACAGTGTTTATGTTTAGAAGTCAAAGGTTCTTTTAATATTTCTTTTGGACTGATGAGTTCTTCTGAATGGGGGGAAGACAACTGCAACATCGGAGGAACATTTTCGAAGATTTAAACAACTTTCATTTGGATTTCATTCAATGGGGCATTGAGGAACCTGGTCTAGTGGAAGGTGTCCCGGTCCATGGCGGGGGGCTGGAACTAAATGATCTTTAAAGTCCCTTCCAACCCAAACTACACTATGATTAATTTAATTTAAATTATTTTAGCTGTGTATCTTTGCATATACCCAGCATTGTTGTGAAAGCATCCCTTTTCACCCATTCATTTTGTACTATAGTGATAATTATTTTCCAACCATATATATGCTTTTATATTATGCATCAGTTTTTGTGTAACAGTTTAAATATTTGCTTACAATGCTTATGCATTGTTACCCAAAATTCATAGGTTGAAATTATGTAATAAAAATATAAATATCTGCTTGTTTCTCTAATTTCTGTTTCTATTACTTCCCCATTGAAGCATATTAGTACCTTGACAAAAACACCATAAAAAACCACCACATAACAGTCTTAAGACTGTTCCTTAAACTGTAAGGATTATTCAGCAAACAAGAGTTACTTTAGGGAATGTTACAGAAACATGACAGAAGCTTTTAGAACTTGTAAAAAAGGGTCTACAGTTAAGTTAAGGTTTTGCATTTATTTTTGTTAGTGTTATGGCTTTTGTAAAACCTCTTCTCAATTCATCTTGGTTCAGCTGCTACTTATCAGTATTTTAATTACTCACTGAAAGGTGATAAATTTGTGTTGAATCCTTAACTCTCTACTGAGATGCAATCTTAGGATGCGCAGTGCATTCATCCCTGGGGGTGCTGGAACACATACTTCCAGAAAGGAGAGATTTCACACAGAATATTAGGAGTTGGAAGAGACCTCGAAAGATCATCTAAGTACAACCCCCCCTGTCAGAGCAGGATCACCTAGACTAGGTCACACAGGAACATGTCCAGGCGGGTTTTGAATGACTCCAGAGAAGGAGACTCCACAACTTCTCTGGGCAGCCTGTTCCAGTGCTCTGTCACCCTCACAGATTTCTGCAGGGTATCTTCATATCTCTATATATGCAGTAAATTACGGTTCAAAGAACTGGAGCCAGTTAAAAGGATATTTATACTGCATCTATTTTTACAAGTCAACTTGATCTTACAGGGTTTGTCATCTTGAGCTGAATAGCATCACTGACAAACAAGGGTCAGATTTTCCTGTTTATCATTACTAGTCATTTATGTTTTGTTTTTCATAAAAACTTGTGTATTTTTATATTGGGAAAAAAAGGTAACTGTTACATTATTCTGAATTTTTAAGGTTAGTTTTTATGAAGGATCAAAATGTATCAGAATTTTATAAGCTTTCATAAATTTTCTTTCTGAGATAATGAAAATAAATTGTGAAGCTTTATTACTTTGTTTTGAACAATAACTTCAACTTTTTAAACACAAGATTTTCTAGAATTGGTATTATGAATTATTCACAGAATCACAGAATCGGTCGGTTGGAAAAGACCTCCGAGATCATCACATCCAACTGCTCCTGTCTACCCCCTAAACCATATCCCTAAGTACCTCGTCTACCCGCTCTTTAAATACATCCAGGGATGGTGACTCCACCACCTCTCTGGGCAGCCTGTTCCCGCGTCTGACAACCCTCTCAGTAAAGAGCTTCCTCCTTATCTCTAACCTGAACCTCCCTTGGCACAGCTTGGTGCCATTTCCCCTTGTTCTATCCTCCATCACCTGGGAGAAAAGACCAGCACCCACCTCTCTACAACCTCCCTTTAGGTATTTGTAGGTGGTGATGAGGTCTCCCCTCAGCCTTCTCTTCTTCAGGCTAAACAACCCTAGTTCCCTCAGCCGCTCCTCATAAGGCTTGTTCTCCAGACAACTATTTGGTTATTCTTTAACTGCAGAACAGCCCAACATCTGAGTAAGGTGCTTGGCAGCATAGCTTCACTTCAGAAATATTCTGAACACTTCAGCAAAGAGATTATTCACGTAAGTAAAGTAAATGAACACCGTGTAGAGTTAAGTCTTTAGCAAACTGGAGAGCAAAACAGACCAGTCTGGCAGAATTTAACAGTCTGTTAGAATTATCTTGGAAGAAGACATGAAACAAATACATTTCTACACATAACCAATACCTTGCAGAAAATTAGGAAACTGAGCAAATAGAGAAAATTTACCCTATGTGTGTCTCTGTAGTTCTGCCTTCACCACTGAACACACATCTAGCAGCTAGGATATCATCATAGCTAACATCTACAGGATGTTCTACTGGATAGAATGCCTGTAAGAGAGGATGATTCACCATAATTAGTGAAAGTGTCTCATATCATTTATGTTAATATACACACACATGAGAGTGACATTTGCTGCACATCTGAAAAGTAATTTCAGAACAGTTTTTGCATCATAATGTAATCGTGATGATACCTGACAGTATTCACTTCCAGTGGCACAACAACATGTACCAGTGGAAGCATCAGGACACAAATCTGTGGGTATGTGACTGCCAATTCAGCTTCTCAGTTTTAAAGAATGATAATTAAAATTTATAGTTAGAATTAAAAAACAAACCAACCTGTGGTAGTTGTGGACTCTGTCTACCAATCAATGTCCATTGACCATTTCTCACTCTGTATCCACTCACTACTTTTCCTATAACATACCAATATGTATGTGAATATGAGACATACTTCTAAAAAAGTATGTTATGTCAGCATTTTTCTGTTAAATATTGCAATAAAATCCTTACCTAGTTTGTGTGTATGAACTCTGTAGGCAAAAAGGTGCATTGGAAACCTTTTGTAATGGCAGGCAATGTCTGCATCAACCACTGTTAAAATATGATGGCAATAAACAAAGAAAAACACATTATTTATCAAACAGAGAAAAGTTACACTACTGTACTCCAACTAGTGTGCAAGTGGTTTAAAAAAGGTATATGTATACTGGACAACAGAAAATTTCAAAAGATATTGGATAATATATTGTATTTCTGCAGTGTTTATCTCAAGACAGTTGTAAAGAAAAAACAATAAAATGTTATACAAGTCACTTGAAAATTACTTTCTATGATGATGCAGACACAAAATGGCATTTTTTCCAGCACATACTACTGCTATTTAACTAATAAATGAACACCTTAGCTTACAGACTATGTCAAGAGATGCTTAAAATAAACATAGCTATGGTAAATAATCTAATCAGGAGAAAATGAAAATAAACTGATATAATCCTAAACTGGTACAATTTATAATGAAGATCTGATTTTATGATCTTACAGTTTTAGGTCCAGTCTCAAAGATTTAAGTGTAGATCAACTTCCTTCAAACAGAACATTACATGCTAGCTTGAAAAAATTACATTAGGACTATACAAACTGAGTTTCAGGTAAAATCCACCAAGTAGGATTCTGAATAGAAAATGTTTGGAAATGTTACAGTGTTTTTTCAGCATTTTGTCCTTTTAACTAACTAGGAACATAGGAATAAAATTTTTGAAGAGCAGCTCCTTACTGGTAGGAATACATTTATTAAATGAATTAAATTCATTTGTTAAAACGTAACACTTAGCAAATCACAAATAGAATGAATGACAAATGCAGATGAAGAAAGTTCAAAAAAAATTTATGGTTTTTTTGGGGGGAAGAAGGAGAATAGAAAAATAGGCTTTTTTGGTAAAATATTAAGATGAAAATAAATCAAAGAAATACACTTAAGAATCCTAGAAACTTCAGTACAGCACAGATCATTACTGTTTTGTACAACATCATTTTCTACAACATTGACTGTCTTTGCATACGTAGTCATCAGGAAATATGATATAATTTTAAAATTATAACTATTGTTTCATAATTTGTTTAATGAAGCAATTCATTTATCCATCTACAATTCAGAAAGTGTCTGCTAAATCTTCTTCTACAATGAGCACTAAAAATAAATCAGATGCTGAAATTGTATAATCACTTTGTAGAACTACGACTCACCTTTCTCGCCTGGTGGTATTACAGTGTTCACAGACATCATAAGATACATTCCAGCAATCAAAGGCTGCCTGCAATTAAAAACCCAAGCTCTGCTAAACAAGTCCTTTGTAAAACCCAACTGCAAGTGACATGAAATGCTATACCATTTAACACCACTAATTTCTAAATATTGGATTATGTCTGAAGCTGGTCTATTTGAGAAGGAAGCTGTTATACAGCACTTCCTTTTCCCTCCTTTTATTCATACCGAGCTACAATTTTTAAAGCACCTTCAGCAAAGTATAGGACAAAATTATCTATGTAATTGCTGTCCTAATCCTAGGTTTCTAAATATGAAGCTCTTAAGATGGACTAACTCAGTATTGAAAGCACTGTTTCATCAGGTTTCTTAGTAGAAAAACAAAAATTTTTGCCAACAGATGACGGATGGCTTCAAAATTCTTAATATTGTGAAGCATGTATCAAGTTTATTTCACGTTTACGTAGAAATCTAAAGGAGGGGTTTCCATGCCTTCTGTTCTCATGAAAAGAATCAGAACAGGTAAGTATTCTCAAAGATACTTACTTTTGATGTGTCAGATGTAAAGTTACACCAGAGCAGTCCTTGTGTTTATCTGCAAAAACCACAAAACAGTTTTATCATCAGTAATTGAACTCACACAAAATTATTCCACATTAATAATATTCTTCTGCTGGACAAAAAATACCAAAAGACAAATAAGTTTTAATCTTACTGTTTGCAGCAAAACTTTCACACTGTGGAAACATCACTCAAATCTGCACAAACCTGAACATCACAGTGCTGCATCTGTACCAAAATCCTAATAAAGAGCAAAACTTTGGTGGATGAAAAACTAACTAGTTTTTTGGCACTAGAAATTGCAGATCTTTATGAACCAGCACCTGGGAGATGAAACAGTGTTATTTTTACAACAGAAGAAGTTGGCTTGCTAATTTGTATTTTGATAAAATCTAGAAAAATGAAAGATTTGTGGAAAAACAATTATTGTAGCTATTAATAATGAAGCAGCCAGAAACTCTTGTAATAAAGTTAACAGCTGAACTTGGGATACCAATACAGACAGAGGTTCTTTTTAATACTAGATATCCTAGCAGGACAGTAAAAATAGTTAATTAATTTCTTAATGTATTGTATCAGCATTACACAATATGTTTGAAATTTAGAGATACTATTGTCTTGATAATTACTCGGCTTTAGCTGGTGGGATGTAGGACCTGATGTAGGAAACAGAATTTCAGTATAATAACATACATTCTTAAGTTTCATTTTTATGCAAACATGGATGTTTGTACAGAATAACAGCAGAAACTGAAAAATTAATCTAAACTTTATGATAAAAATTTTGTAATTTAAAGCACAGTCTTTAAAACAAATTTAAAATATACTCTTCCATCTTTTTTAAAAGTTACTTCTTCAAATACCCAAAACTTTCCATAAATACATTCACCACATGAAGAGTCATTTGGAGGTGTGGCAGAGAGAGAGGTAAAGAAAGAGGAATTAAAGATTGAAGGATCAAATAAATGAATAAGTGAGATTAGAGAAGGGAAATATTACAATGTTGAGATATGATCAGCATTGGCTAAAAACTGAAAGAAATACTGAAGTTATGCCATGCCAGAAAAAGCACTAGTTTCCACCACAGATAACAAATGTTGCTTCCAAATGGCCAAGTCATGAATCCAAAACTACCAGAAAGACTAACCTATCAGGACAAAAGTAGGGGAAGAGTAGAAAAACATGCAAAAGAAACAGAAATTAAATTATTTGGCCATGGTTTTACTAGAACTTTGAGATATGTATACACTGTTCATCCTCTACTCTTCAATGCAGGAAGCTTCACTTACAGTCCAAGTATGCTGTTTGTTACAAAGGCCTTTGTGAAGTCTATTTCGTCTCACTTTCCTTATTTCCAACTAAATATTTTGACTAAATTTTTGGTTATTCATATAACACAGGTGATGCTGCAGAACTTTGCTTTAGTAAGTTTAACATTGTTAGAAAGTTTTACTACATCAGTTTTAATGAAAGTTCAGAAAAGCTTGCTTACTTTCAGAACATTTTACTGTATTACTTAAAATATAAAATTAAAAAATTTAAAATGCAATCACTAGCTTTGGGTCTCTCAGTTTTTCAATTTGCAGTTGAAAACATCCCCATCCTGTCTTTTAAACACTGCTGAAAAACTATCCCAAAACAATAAAACCAAACTTGTCATATGCCAAAGATGAGTCATGTTTGAAAAATCTAACCCTTACTATGTCATAGAGTCTTTTAAAAACAGCATTGCAGGAGGAGGGAAACAAGTCCAATATATTTCAATTTGCCAATATTAAGTGTTTTCACACTATTTAAATTTTCAGAGTATAAAAAGATTTTTAATGCAGTATTATATATATCTAACTACTTTGGTTTCTTTATTTCAGCTATTCGGCAAATACACACTGCTCTGTGACAAAGTAGTTACTAGTTACTGTTTGCCACATGACAAAGACCAGAAAATGCATTTTTATATACCTCAGAAACAGGTTCAAATGAAAGTCATGCAGAGTGTACAACTGAAATGAAACTAGAAGCTGTGCTTATGACTGTGTTATGCGTGTTGTGCAAATATAACACATCCATACTAAATATTACATGCTTTTATTTATACATGTCAAACAAAATCAGTGATGCATGTTAAAGCCTAACACTAGCTTCAGATTTTAAACGCATTGTTTTAAAAACTGTACATGACAACTTTGTAATGATAATTCCTGGTTTAACTGCCAATAAGTGCCTAAATTAGCTAAAAAGAATCACCTGTGCTACTTCTGTTCATCATGTTTTCTAGGAGAAATATCACAAATACTAGAAATACTCTGTTTGTCAAATGAAACACTCATAGCTGAGGAGAAGTCAAATTATCCTAAACAGAAATGGTCTCTCACTGCAGGCTGAATCTGATAAAGACTCCAATGCAAGACCGACAGGCTTCCTGTGCTCTGAACTCCTTAGTTACATACATGATAATATGCCATAGATATTGAGATTCTCAGGGTTCCTAGATTATAATTCTGTGTTTCTTTACTCAGAATTAGAAAAATAAACACTGTTAGAAACATATTTTCTTTGTAATCTGGAAACATAGATTATAGAGCACACTGTTCAAACTATTCAATTTATTCATTGCTCTATTTCTAATACTTAATAGGAACAGTATAGCACTCATACATGGCTACTAGAATACTCAAAAGCCTTCACTGTAACAGTAGTCCTTTTTCAGAAGATCCAAATCCCCTGTTACTTTAAGGTTAAGCCTTTGATTTGTACCAGAATCTCCACATATGGTCTAAGAATTTGTTTTTGCTTTATTAAAGATAAGAAGTAGCCACAAAGCCGGAGCACAACCTCTAAGCAAGGCAATGCCAAAGCTAATGTCCTCTGGGAAGTAACTTAGCACAAGTTACATTTGAAAAGACAAATACATGCAGCACAAAAATGAACCTGAATTCTTGCTAAAGAGAAAGAGAAATTCAGTATGTTGCATTAAATATTGATATTTAATATTTTATACAAAAAAGAGCACTAGCTGAATTAATCTTTTTTCATGACAGTCAACATGCTTGCTCTTGCTCATCTGTTCACTCATCATTAAAGTCTAGTAACACGTAGAAAAAACCACTACCTTTATGCAGTTTGTGAAAAACAAAATGCATGCACAGACTCCTCAGTGCCATGTTCACAACTTACTTTCCAAATAAAATAGAGAGAAACAATTGTTGATCCTGGTTCAGTATAAATTTTTTAACAAATGAATTCTTGTAAAGGTCATGGATGACTGATTTGCTGAAAGAATATCATAATATTTCAGACAAGAATATCTGGCAATATGCAAAACTGATTTTATTCAAGACACCAATGTTAAGCCTTCTGGTTTTCAAAGAAAAGCACACCAAAAGCAGTGATCAAATAAGACTAGAACTCAAACGACGGCTTGCAATTCAAATGCTTATGAAGAAAAGGGTTATTTTTAGGACATCTACCAGCTTAATGGCAAAAATTTATGACTCTTCCTAACCAATAAAAGAAGCAAAAACCACCCCAAAATAGAAACAAACAAAACAGAAAACAGGCAAAACTCAACACTAAGAATCCCACACCCTCCTCACAAAAGCATGTGCATCTGTGGTTCTATATGTAATGTGAGTAACAACTCTTGCAAAGAATGATAATGTGAAGAAATAAGTATCTTCTCGGTGAAGAAGCGAGGGTTAAAAGGAGCTGAGAATGCAAATATTATGCGTTCCTTGTGCAAGAAAAGAGAGGGAACAAGAAAGGGAATTAGAAATGAGCGAAAGTTGCACAAAAATTAAAGAATCTCCCAAAAGTTTGCTCCAAGCATATTGACAAAAACTGTTAATTGCTTCAAACAATGCAACAGTTACAAACATAGAAAATGACAGATTGTGATTACCTTTTACACAGAACAAGTTAAACAGTATTATTACTGATAACTTTTAATTACTTTGATTCTTAGGGATAAGGTATAGATTCTTACATATGCTGGAAAGGACAAAGTTAGTAGTATGGTGGGTTAGAAATAACATTAATATTTGTTATAGGGAGGGCAAGAAAAACCAAATTCTAAGGATAGGAAGAAAAACCCACATTTTAAAATTCAGATCTGAATGCACTTATATGGAAGCACAAATCAAGATCGGTGTGACAACTGCATTGCATAAAGTATCTAAATATGAATATCTAGCTCTAGATTATAGCTAAGGAGGCAGGGAAAGCATAATTAGTTTAATAACTGGTTAATGAAATGAATAAAATACCCTTTTTGCAAATAGTTGGAAATGAGAGTTAATACATTTTAACTATGACATTTAAAAAAAATATAGGAAGTAGGATTGGGTGCTAAAACAGAAATAATTACAACCTCAAGCAAAACATTTTGTATGTGCAACAACTTGCAAGTCAGAAAATTAAACTCGGAACAGTGCAGATGAATCTTTGATGTGCAACTGAAAGCATAACTAGTTACATGAGTATATTTAATCATTTGTCTTCTATTCTGAGTTGCAACAACTGCATGAGCTAACAAACTGTAATGACTATATTCTCATACTCTGACAAGCCACAGTTAATAACAGACATTGAATATCCATGAACACTACAATAAAGGTTTAGGACATTTAAATTATTATATTTTTATCTCCTGGAATTTTCACAGGCAGACTACATTAAACACTTTTTTGTTCACACAAATGGCAAAAAAGGCAGACTATATTTCACTTCAGAAATAAGGTATCAGACTACCAAGTTAAAAGCACTGAAATAAAACAGAAGGCATTCAGTCATACTATTTAAGTGTTGAAACAGTACATGAGAC